AGAAAAAAATCTAAGTATTTATATCAGTATATAAATACTTAGATTTTTTTATAAATACATACATAATATATATAGAAAACACCCAGTCCAATACAAACAATCATACAAATGTATGCACTGTTCGAGGAATCGAACCCGCGACTATCGGAAGTAAAACGTAGTGCTAAACCACTTGATCACCGAGGCCGTCAAATATAACAATTTGTAACGCCACATTTAATCTTTCTTGCTGGAATATACTAATACGAAACCAGATACATTAGTAACTTCCAGAGCTTAAACGTTAATCGATTTCCAAACATACCTACCATACACAAGCAGCCAATGGTATTCGTATACCATCATCTGAACAACACATTCACATTAGGGACCAATAGTGGATTTACGTGAAATTCCCATTTGCAACAGTTTGCGAGCGAAATTATTAGATTGTTTGTATTGCATAGCACGTCGTTATCTAAACAATAAGCTTATGTGCACTGACAAGATGACGCATTTCGTATGTGGATTGGGTACTATTATCAAATAAACAGTGTAATATAATAAATCATTTCATAATAGATACGAGAAAACAGGCTACTTGTAGCCTCTTTATTAAAGCTGTTAATTATTATTATTTGTAATTAAATATCACTTGAAATCTGATCTAGAATTTAGTACGTAAATAAGTTATGTGTCCGAAATTCCTTTTTACAATTCTATACTAGAAATGCACATATATAGTAGCTAGCCGTCAGCCCACTGAATGGAAAATTGCAACATTCGGCTGCAAACATGAGCGTTTTATTTCATTTCTATTATGTATTACCTCTACCGAAAGGTAAACATCCGCTTAGCAAAAGAAGTAGATGATATAGAGACAAAGCCAGAAAATCATATATTGATATTATTTATTCATCATATTGTATTAAAAATAATTATTAATTACCTATATAATAGAATTATGTATACAGAAAAAAGTACCTACGACTCAGTTCTCTTAAGATGCATTGCTCTCTGAAAATATCATGCCCGCGGTGTTATAACTTTACATTTCACCCAAAAAAGACTAACAAAAAAGTTCATAAAAATTCAGTCGAGAGCGGGCCGCTTGTCCTTTTTGGTCGTCTCTGTGCAAGCCGCCCGATCTAAAAGAGTCTGATAGAAACTTGTTACGCAAAGTCGATTTAAGTTAAGAAAAGGAAAGAACATAAATTACATTTGAAATATACTTTTACAATGTAAACATAATTTTCAATGTAATAAATTTTATACAATATAAATGCCATACTCGTATTCGATAAACGACAAAGCCTTTGTTCAAATAAAATATATGGATACTTTTTACAGTAAGAAAAAGAATGAAACTTGAAGCCTTGTTATCGAACCAAAATGTTGTCCGGAAACGTGTTCATTATTTACACACCCTTAACAAAGCATTCTCACATAAAAACCCCGTCCATGAGCATAAACTCGGCGAATTATTCGATTCATTTCAAAGGAATCCTACTAAAAGGAACGCGAGACTAACTCAAAGCTTTTATATCGTACGGAGGCGCCTTATTGTCTTCAGCGGTATATGTATTAAAGCTTGCTTTCTCTTCCGTAAATAAAATCCATTGGAAGAGAAGTGCTTGGAAGCAAGTGCAAGAAGGGGCGAAGGGGTCTAGGTGTAATGCCTCATGCGAATGTCGGGGACAATGCAAAGTAGATTGAATTGGAAAAAAGACTTGAGTTGAATAGCGGCTTTCGGCACCCCCGGGAAAAGGGTAACTTGTTCCAAAGGGTTAACAATGAGAATTTTGTCCATAGATGGTACCACTGTATTGCATTATAAAACTCGGTTTTCGTTGTGATGGAGGTAGGACCAACGTACTCGTTTTTTCCACGTCGCACTTTTATTTCGGCAATTTCTTTATAAGTATACTATACCAGTGACCTTCTCATTTATCTAATATGAAACGTGTTGTAGAACACACTTCTAATGTAAAGTATTTAGTCATTAATACCTGAGCAAGGCAATACAAATACCGCATTCGTATTATTTACAATACGTGACACAATACAATTTATGACTACAAATAAGTTTATATTTATAACGTATTGAACGTCTATCAAGACGAATTTAACAAAATACGCCTAAAATAAATTACGCACTTTTCTATACAGAAACTGTTTAAATGTAATATGTTTTACATAATATTTTAGAAGATTATTACGATGTGAATATAAGTCAATATTTACAGATTCTCAATAACAATTAATGTAACTATACCGATTTTAATATAACAATATTGAACTCTACACACATACGTAGTATAGGTATCATAACCACAGCCTGAATGAATAAGCGTACAATGCTAATTTACGTCCAAACTAAATTTGATACAAATAGGTTTATAAAATCGATATTATCATCATAATCATCAACTCACTGTAACCCACTGCTGGACTAGACTGTGGCTCTCCCAAGGCCCGCCACTGGGTACGATCTTCAGCCCTGCTCTTCCAGTTACTACCCGCAACACTACGTATGTCGTCGCTCTACCTACCTACGGGACGTCCTATATTACGTTTGCCAATTCATGGTCACCGCTGTATAAGACGTCTACTCCAGCGAGCAACGGTTCTGCTTCTGGTACATAAATTGTATGGAAACATTGTTTATTATAACGTACCTTGTTATATGTATAATATTATGCCAATAAATTGTTATCTATTTATCCTTTGTAAGAAGGGATAGTACTTTATAATGTAAAGTGAGAAAACAAGTTGCATGTAGGTACTCAGATTTTCCAAGCCATCGCCTTCTTTAACAGGATAAAGTTCACTCAGCTGCGAGTCGTGTTCTTCATAATATTCAATTTACAGTACACGCAGGTATTTATAATGATTGAAGTTTTATGAACTTTTAATTTGATCCAGTATTGAAAGGTTTTCTTTAAACTTGTAACTTTGAGCAACTTTGTTTAGTAAATAAAATGTTTTTTACTAAACTAAGCTTCCTAACAAGGTTATGAAGTCTTAGTTATAATTATTGCTTATATTTAGTATTAAAACCTGATGTTATGACTCGGGGATAAAAACAGTTTTTTAGGCAGATAACTTATTTTTAGTGACACTTTTTAATAGATTTTGTAACATACAATATTAACAAATTATAATAATAGTAGTTTATGTTTAATGAAAGTATTTATATATTAGCGGTATAAAGCCTAACGTGCAATAGTAATATCTTCACTTAGGTTAACTTAAACAAAAACGTATTAATCTATTATTACTTTGTTATACTAAATACCACTGGTAGTACATTTATTTTTATGTTAATAATAAACGATATTATTGTTTAAAATGAAACTATTTCCCTAAGTTTACTATAAAGATAATAATAATGATAAAAATACCTCTGGACAATTCACACAACGCTATCTAGTCCCAAGCTAAGCAGTGCTACTAGTTATGGGCTCTCGATGACTGATATAAATACACAGTTATTTTTTTTTTTGTTAAATGCATAGACATACATAGTATTCATAGGAAACACTCGGACCGATACAAACAATCATATCATGAATACAATTATTTGTAACATGCGAGGAATCGAACCCGTGAGCATCGGAAGAATTTCGGTGTGTACCTCTAGACCGCCGAGGTCATAATGTACTATTAACTATATCCAATATAACAATTAGTTGATCCGTACCTATATTTAATGTATCGAGCATTCTATTATATAACTACAGTAACATTGAACGGACCATTGAATTTTAATTACTTTGTTGATGTTTAATTCAATACAGTAGTATTACCTACACGTTTTATGTTATTCTAATTGACTTCATATAATATTTCGTAATAAATAGAGTACATATTAGCATTATATTAGGTACTTCATATTGGTAATTGGGTAGAACAAGCGATTCATATTGGTACCTATTAACTAGATAATAAATAGAATAGTAGATAAATTTAAAATTGATAATATATTAAATATTATCAATTTTAAATTTATCTACCATATTTAAAAACATCTGCTAGTTAATAGGTTAAATAACACAGAAATGATATACGATAATATTCAGTAGGTAAATAAACAGATTTAGTGAATACCTAAATTTCTTGATGTGTACCGAAAATAGAGAGAAACACTATTTTTAAGAAATGAAGTTTTTCATAAATATTAATAAAGTTCAACTTATACAAGGTTAGTCTATGACTAAGAAATAATTCTTACGTGATTATCATAACCTTTAACAAAATAATAAATAACTTTTACGAAAGAACCACAGCATTTTAAAATATATAAAATTGTAATATACTATTAGTTGTTAAAAGATACAGTATTTCAGTTATTTTTTTATAAAATCGAAGCAATTTTTCAATAAGAAATGTTATGAATATTAAATATTATAAAAAGACATTTTCAATAACTAATACATAAATATGTACTATTTATTCTATAACTACAGGATTAAGTTAATTACTAAAATAATAAATAATGTTGAAACTCTATCTAGATAAAGGTTAATAATAATGTCGGGAAAACGACGAGAAATTATCAGCACAATATTATATTTTTGTGCCGGCGCGCCATGGGAGGCTTAGTTAAAGATTTTAATAAGCGTCAAACACATTCAGCTTGTACCAAAATAGAGTTGTTTTACTTTTTACAAAGAGTGTCTTAATAATGTAATAATATTTATATTATAGAATATTAGAGTCTTTTACACTAATGGTTTTTTTAATAATAAACTAATATTTTATAACTTTAATATAAACAACGTAAAGTTTACATAAGGCGACAAATAAAATATGTTTTTATTTGCCGCCTTATGTATTATTAGTATCCATTTTTTAAGTATACAGGTATATTGCAAACACATGCTATATATTCTATTTTTTATCTACTTACTTCTTTGGTCTAAATTCATCCTGTATTTCACAGAACTAAAAAATAGTAATTTAGGTCAAGTTAGTGAGGTTAGTGTATTTATTACAGCACTTTAAGAGATTTCACTAACCTTTTTTTTCCCTGCCTCCGTCATGTCGAAACACAATGGGTCTATTATGGTCTCGTCTCCATAGGACAGTTGGTGGTGGTTCCCCAGTGGCACTGCATGTCAGCCGCACACTACCGCCTTCTTGGGCTGTACTTTCTTCTGATATTGTATCTACTATATCCGGTGGTATCACCACAGAGAGATAACCCATCTGAATAACAAATATTTGAATTATTTAACGTTGAAAAAGTTACCTACTAAGTAATTACTAAGTTAGAAGTAGTCAAGACGAAAATTTGAAACTCTAAGACAATAAACACTGAGGATTTTCTTAATGTGTTATTTATTGTCAAAACTTAATGTCGAATACTCAAAATGTGTATATTTCATAACTTCAGTTCACATTATTCAAAGTTAAATGTAAATTGTAATGTATAAAATCTACCTATCTATATTCTGGAAGATATTTTCAATTTGAAGCAACTTTTTAATGGACACTTTATTGTCCCATTCTTGATTATTAGTTTTATGTATTTTATCGCCTTCAAAAATGAAGTATGCTTTATGATATATTGCTATGTATGTTAATGGATATTTTCGTCAATTATGGATCGATTTTTGATATTATTTTTTTTGTTTGGTATAGCCAGTCGAATCCATCGAAAGGTAATTGAAGGACATTCTCAAACGTTATTGGCCAGTATTGTTTTTGAGCTTTCTACTTTTATTAAAATATTACGTGTTCGGACTTAATGTCGGTTTTATAGTGACTTGAAAATTTGGGTATAATTATATATTATTTTAATATTTACCTGACTTTTCATTGGGTCCGTGTTAACTTGGCACATATACGTGCCTGAGTCATTGGCCTGGACATTGCTGACGTGAAGTTTCCATGTATTGTGATTATTATACGTGACAGATAGTCGAGGGTTCAACGCCACCATGTTTGTATGGATCGCTAGAATCGCCTTAGAATCTGACTTTATCCACGCCACCTAAAATGGAATTTAGAAGTCAGTTATACTAATACTTATACTATGTAACATACTTCTAAGATAAGGATATGTAATAATTAGATATATGTATAACAAACTGCTTATTAACAGCGCCTATATCTGCTTTAAAAAAAACATACTCCATGTTCTTTCCTATGAGACAATCTACGTTGTGTTTTTCAAATTACGTGAAGGAAGGGGATTGTTAGTAATGTACACTAATGAACCCATTGGTAACAATGTCCCATATTGAATTGTCCCAAGTTGACCACGCAGTTCCTACTGAAAAACATTGTAATAAATTCCTAGTAAATGTGCTGACTGACATGACCTGTTATCCTCCACTGGTGCCCCGCCAGCGTAAACCGTTAACACAGGTGGGTGTACCATTCCATTATCATCAATAAAAACATTTTGTTGCCGACTTACTTACGAATGCAGGTATACATTACAGGAATATTAGATATTTCTTTTATTGATGCATAAATGGTAACATAAGTAACGCATTGCAAATATAGGAAAACTGGAAATTAACGGAGCTTCTATTTTACAGTGAGATTTATTTATCCCTTTAGTCATGAAACGTAATAACCAGACAGCTAGATATTTTCCATTTAAAGTATGGTTAATATGTTAATATTTAAGACTAGACTTTTTGTTAATGAATATTAAAAAACACCTAAAGTGTATCAAAACAAAAATAGACCTCTCTTTAATACAGGCAAACAGCTAATTATATACCTTATTCATTTATTTAATTTATACCCATGATTAATCCTAAAATCGGCTAATGAATCTTCAACGTTTCCCGAAGTTTAAAATGGTTTGTATTGTACATTGTGGAAACAAAACTTAATGTGAGTTAAACGCTGTAGCGAATGTAAAACTGAGGGAACGACACGTAAAATTGTGGAACATCGCTGGAGGAATGCACGAAGTCTCATCCGAGCCGCTCGCGAGCATTTTTCATGTGACATGCCGCTTTGTTGCGGTTGGAAAATAAATTAGTAACAATTTCATTGTTTGTGAGAATTATTTCCGCGCTTCTGCAGCTAACGTTTGCCTAGCGAACAATACAAGCACACACTTGTCACAAGTTACACGATTATTAACACACTTTATATCTAGAGTGGCTTAAATGGCATTTGCAGGATGCTAATTTGTAAAAAAAATATACGAGTTGGAAGAAGTTCCTTGTTGAGTATTATGGTAGAAGTCTAATATGAATTACGACTATAAATTTTAGCTAGCTTTATTAATGTAACTGTTTGTGTGTTTGTACACGCTAATCTAAAAAACAGCTTAATCAATTTGAATGCGATTTTCACTAATGTATCCATTATAAGCTTCGCTTAGGTTAACTTAAACAAAAACGTGTTAATCTATTATTACTTTGTTATACTAAATACCACTGGTAGTACATTTATTTTTATGTTAATAATAAACTATATTATTGTTTAAATTGAAACTATTTCCCTAAGTTTACTATAAAGATAATAATAATGATAAAAATACCTCTGGACAATTCACACTACGCCATCTAGTTCCAAGATAAGCAGAGCTTGTATTATGGGACATATATGACAACTGATATATAATAAATACTTGATAATTTTTTTTAAACAATACATACACAATATTAATAGCAAACATTCAGACCGATACAAAGAATCATATTCATGAATATTCGTATCGTGTTTGGAATCGAACCCGCGACTATAGTAAATCGATTTTACTATAGACCATCGAGCCCGTCAAAGATAAACTAAATATGTATATTTTATAAGGGTTTTATGCAGACACAGATAATATATCTTTTTACGTTAATTTATTTGATTGCGGCTACTGCGTTAAACCAGATAGAAAATAAAAATAGTTTTGAAATTATGTACACCTGTTGTAATTAAGGATTTAATGACCGTTTCTTTTTTTTTTTTAATTACAAGTGTTACATAAAAGAACCGTAATTGTAAGAAAAATATCCGCCGTACATTGAATTTTCTCTCTAATATTTTAAATACAAAAGCGAGTTTCTTACCTTTTGGCATCTATTGAGGAAGGAGGAGGAGGTGTTGAGGAAGACATAGAATGTTTTATTTTGTATTTTGATCAATCTAATGTCTGAATAAACGATAACCGAGTAATACAATAAAAATAACAGACTCCATTGAAAATAACAATGAAGTTTAATAAAATTATCATTAGCTTTAATTTTCATTCCCATAGACTACAATTAATTAGATTAATTTAAAAGTCCCTTGTAACCGAATGTTACTCTAATTCCGTTTCATAGTAATAATGTGGCTTCAGACTGACTTCGTTTCGTGTTTTATCGCGCGCCGTAACTTCAACCATAGCCACTATTTAAGCTAGCTTAGCGACTTGGAGCTTCCGTAATAGTAAACTAAAGTAGCACAGTATTTAATGTTTCACTACGAGAAACTGACATTACAATGGTATCGTATTCCGCCAAGCTTGTCTTTAGAATCGTGATTAAAATGAATGTACAATCATTTTCAACCGACAACTAACACCAAGAAGACTGGCCTGAATTCTTGCTTATCAAATTCCAGTGGTGGCTCGGCTGGTATGGCTCAGGAGTTAGCTAACAAATACACATGCACAAGAATTATATATATTAAGATATTGAAAAGTTAAAGTATATGAAATAATTGTATAAAATTCACGATTTGATAGGAATAACTACTATTCTAATATCACGGTGCTCATGTCAAAGAAAACGGAGTGTGGGGAAGCAAATATGACTAACTGCGACATGGATGGAGGGACATTACAAGAAATTCAAGTCATACCTAAAACTCAGATTTAACATCACAACTTCATCTGTTTCTGTTCGTTTCCTATAATATTTTTATATACGGGAAGTAACGACAAGGGTCACGAGCAATAACATGTAAACACTTGTACTTGTACCTTTTATCACAAAAAAAATAATTTGGAATTGTCAATATACTCACATATAATCATGAATCTTTGAATACAAATCTTATTGAAACGCGTCTGTTTATGTGGTATGGATTTATGAAAAAAACAGCTGGTGAATTAGGATGAAAATTTCACAGAACATATTTTGATCAACTCAGGCTACAGAAAACTGAAAAAGATTCTCCTAAAGAGTAGCAGCATAAATGATGTGAATGCAAATCTTTAATTTTTAATCAACTGTTTATAATTGAATAAGATTTAATTAAAATTTAATTATTTTTTATTTATTCATATAAAGCACAAACAAATATCTATATATGTACATGTACTGAGTATTATACACTAGGTACTGCTGCTCTTCAGTACACATCAAGATATTTGCAAATACATAACAAAATTGTAAACAAAAATCGACTTTAATTTGAAAATAGAAAATGCAAATTAGGCATTGTGAGTAAGGGTAGCAAGCCACTAGACCATGAAGCTCTCTTTGTAAATGACAAAACGCGAAATTGACCTTTAGCATCATTCTTATCTATATGAACGTCTATCTTATATTATATTTTACGGTTCCATTATTTTCTCTTGTCACAACAAACTAATATTATAAAGATGAAAGACTTTACTTTCTATATGTTTGTTTCTAATTGAGAAACTCGTAAAAATTTACAAAAGTTCTCTCGCGCACGTCGTGATTTTCATCACTACCGTCCAATTTGGCAGCTACTTCAGTTGAGAATAACTGGTACGTTTGTTATGTTATTATTATTTACTTTTTTATAGCATTTAATTAACGTACATATCCTACAGATTTAAAATATAGAATCCTTATCTGAACAAATAAAGCCATACAAGGTCGTCTCTCCAATAATCATTTACAGAGTACCTAATAGGGTTCATTATTTAATTTAAGTATTTCTTAATACATTTTTCGAATTTATTAAAAGGTGAATCCATAAATATATTGTAAAATTTAATGCCCATTCACATCAAAGGCCTATTAACTTTATTTATATTTATTAAACGAATTGTGGAAATGTAAGTTGTGTTAATGTGAGGACTTCCAGACAAGCTGTGGCACGCAATACAAATAAATATGTATAACGAAAATCTATCTGCAGCTACTTGTACTATAATATGTCAGATATTGAGTCAAAATACCAATGTGAATGGATGTAGGTATACCGAGATATAAATCCATAATGGCAATACAACAACTCAAATTCGCAGAAAACCTGCAAACTGAAGTGCACGTACTCGTAATACAAGTGTAAAATCGGTTTTCAATATAATCCTTTTCATGTTAAATTACATGGATGTTAAATTAAATACCGTCCTATCGATAAAAAAAAAACACAATTGTAAAATCCCTGTGGACAGTTCTGTTGTAGGTAGGTATAAATAGTAATTTAATTAACGTTCACTAGTTATTGTTTACAGATATGACATAGAATCCATGACAGTTATTTTTATAAATAATAAATCTTAAACGTGTTCTTCATTTTCTCCAAGAAATTAGATAAATTTGATTGTATTTACTTTTAAAAGCTTTAAACAAAAGAGAGATATTGTTGAATATAGTAGTCTAGTATTATAAATTTTAAAAATTCACCGCTCTACCTCGGTTAAAAATTTGTAAAAAATTGTTTGCACCTCGTTCTCATGGTGGTACCATATTCTCATTAATGTTAGTCAACAAGCAGCTTGCATTGTGAGGTATGTTGCGGTATGGTTAGATAAACAGTCAAATTATAGCGTAATATTCTTGCCTTCCGCAATAGCATGAGTGATCACAGGCATCACGACGGTTACCACTTACCATCCATGTCTTTCCGTCAGCTTGTTTGCCATTCCAATTACATAAACATTATTGGTGATACGATGTCACACTGCTTCTGGTGTGGTATGCTTTTTACGACTAAATCTGTATATGAATATACAGAATAGACTACACAGAGGTATCAAAATCAATATCGTTGAAACAAAGAGTGTTGCCGTACAGATTCTACATTGCGAGTGCAGCGCTACGGAACATCAGTAACTATATAATGTAT